CGAGATTGGTAGTCGCTTTTATTCCGAAAATTAGTCTTCGAACTCGATTTTCCCCATCGCACCGCTCAAAGAATGCATATCGTGTTTGCGATAGGAGTCACCGTTGAATATTGCATAAGTATCGATCCGTTGAAAGATTGTTGAAAAAAAAAAAAAAAAAAAAAAAGAACAAAACGGTCGAAGCATCGTCAAGAACTGCGCCATAGGCATTTTGCTGGCACGACGAATTAATTACACAGACGGAAACGTAATAAACGCTTAAGGAAATGATATTGCTATTAGTGTTATTGTTATATTGTTATATTAAATTGTCCATCACAATTATCACTATTGTCACTGTTAATACTATTGTTGTACTGTCACTATTATTTTATGAAAACTTGTGAGAGATTGAATTAATGTTTATACATATATATAATCAATTTTGCGGTGCACTCTTTGGAAGAGGCAGGAGGAGAATGACGCTTTTCAATCATTGTTTGGATTTTAATTCGAAATAATGTAGATTGGATTTCGTGGCTACGCATTACGTAACTGTTTCCCATCGCGTCATGACGCACATACTAATATCAGGATGGATGGTATAGTGATACCGCTGAAAATACGTGTTTACCGTTGAAAAATATTTAAAAAAGAAACGCGATAAAGAGAGCGAGAGAAAGAAAAAAATCGCAACGCGAATATTTTGCGCGTGCACGTCGCCGGGTCGTTTTCGGGGGTAGCGCAAACAGATTTAAATGTTTCATATGATTTTGCATCAGTTTTTAATTACCCGTCACGTGCCGCTTGTCAGATGGTTTGCCGGTGATACCGTCGGGCCGTCGCGCAGTTTTTTCCGAGCTCATCGGGGAAAATGCGATGAACGCTCTCGTAGATAACGAAATTTTGCGACAGTTTCATCGACGCGCAAATGCCGGCCCGGCGTCTTAACCGAGTTAATCCTGGTAGACAATAAAATTGCGTCCGCCCGGTTTCCCTATCGCGCGTCGTGATTTTGCCCCATTTTCATTTTCCCTCACGTATCCCATAAACTACATGAACTATGCAGAAAACAAACAGATTGCACCTTATCTCGGCATTTTTGCTAGCTCGTGCCCGAAAATGCAGTTAATTATTCTCGTCGCGTTGAAAGTATCTTTAATTTACTACGAAAGTCTACGAAGACAAACTGAATATAATTAATTCAGTAATTAATGTGATTGGCAACTTTTCGCCTTTGCAAGAATAATTAGTATTATTATTTATTAATCTTATTTTTTTTTAATCTTGACGATAAACGTCGTAAAATCACAAAACGTTACTTATTTTTACATACACAATATCTTAAAACTGTTTAATTTTAATCACATCACAGCACTCGCAAGAAAAAACACATTTCATTAATGAACGTATAGAAGTGCGAAAGTGATATTATGTGTATCATGATATACTTAATCAACGGGAATCAACGAAATTATTTCAAATAATTTAAAATAATAAAATTTAAAATAATTTGAAATAATGAAATTTAAAATAATTTCAAGTAATAAAGTTTAAAATAATTTAAAATAATGATTGAATAATTTTATTAACATTATTAAATTGAGATCGGTTGATTTCGTTATGACGCTCGAAGGTGATCTTTGTTTTTATACTTGTGTCGCGCCAAACGTTTGTTATTCTACTCGGCTCGCTCGATCATTTTGCCTTACTAGCCTTACAACGCCATCGCATCCAGTCGGAGGTCGCTCCGCGTTGATCGAATCTCATGGCGTGATATCGAACGGAGAACGATCATCGTATTTCGTGTTACATTCTCATTCGAAGTGGTTCGTACGAATAGCGTCGAACAAGTAAGGACGGCTCTTTCGTGGATTACATCGAATTGAAACGCGATGATTGTAGCATTTGGAGACGCGGCTCGTTATGCGGACTCTTACGACTGCTCGCAACGTATGTTTATCGCGTTCGATGGAAAATTCTCCGTGCAACGGGAGAGAACCAAAGTACAGATAAGTAATCATATTTTCTCGAAAAAATAAAAAACGTCGTGATCAGAAGTGTAAAAAGTATAGAGTTGAATAAGCGCGAATCCAATGGAGATTACAAATAACCATTTCGTTCCGCCGAAACACTTTGTTAATTATTTTCAACAGCTGTAAACCCCATTTTAGATCCTTGTTTTTTAACGCAAAATTATTATGTACCGACGATACATTGCATTTTTCATAAACAGCCTCTATCTGCAACGCAGATTAGCGGTGGCTGCGTTACGCTAAGTACTTTATACTCGAACGTTGTGCTTAACATGCAGCTCTCGTACCGCCCGCGCCATTATCCGCTTCCTTTCATAGAAAAGCAGAAACGCCGTCCGACGCTGAGAGTGTCCCCGATTTGCGAGTTTAAAATCTTTTCAAACGCGTTATGATACGCGTACCGAGAAACTCACCGTCACGCGGTAGCGTAACGGATCTTAAAAAGCGGGGAAAAATAGCAACGGGCGCTTAAGCGGATTCGTTCGTCCGAGAATTCCGCGAGGATATGCGTTTATTCGCGGGCGTTAAGTCGCGGAATACTTTTCATTTTCCGACGATAATAATCGCGCGAATGGGGAATACAAACTAGACGGATATCCGCTATTTGCGCTCGGAATGTTAATAACATTCGGCGTGTCGCGGGAAGAGGGAGAACGGTAGAATTTGAGAAATTTAAAACCTCCCCCTCCCCCCGTCGTTCAAATTAGTATCTCATCACGTAAATCATTAGGCGGTAATTAACGGCGAAAGAGAATGCAATCGCCGTGAAATGAAATCAATTATAGCAGTATAATTATTACAATTTGATAGCGTTCGCGGCTTGAAATAATGATTGCCCGCTGTATATAATGATCAGTGGAGAAACTTTAATTATGTGCCAATTACAACGGCCGCGATAATGCGTTGGGGCTAGAGCGCGATTTAAACTATGCAGCGCGAAATCCCTCGTGGATTTTAATTTATTCCTTCGTGTCGACTGATGAATTCATTCGCGGCCGCCGGCCGCGATGGAACAACGCCCAATAAACATTAATCGAAATTATCGCGGTAATGACGCCTGCCATTAAAATCGCCGCGTTCAATAGGCATATCTTTTAAAATCGAGTATCGAATCATCCGATGGACAATTGACGAGGGAAACACGTGGCCATCCGCGTTTACCGATGGCTCGCCGTTAAAGTCGATGGCAGCTGAAATGTCATTTTCGGCGAGTTCGTTTCGCGAATTTTTTTCTGCCTTCGATGCCAGATTTTTCGATATTCGCCATCGAAACGTCGACTTCGGACGAGCAACCATATGATACGAGAGGTTTTTCCGTTAAAAATTTATCTTTCTCTAAAAATACATTTCTTTTTGTGTATTTACGTATTCAAAGTATATCTTTATGATTTTTTTCAATTTAAGAGTCTTTTTTAAAGCATGATCCGCTTTAAATTAATTTAAAAACGCGAGTTTATCTTCTCTTAAAGCTTAATTCAGTTCCGAAAATCCTTTACTTTTAGTATTATTCATTTGGTCGCGTCATCTTTACATCAGAAAAATTATCGATGAACGAGTCAAAAAAAGTTATTATTAAGAATATAATGTGGTAAAAGTAGGACACTCTACTTATTGCCAGTGTCTTTAATATTTACACCTCGCCTCCCGTCAGAGGCTTTACAGAACTGGCGTCTTTACAAAACTTTTTACGTTGCTTTAAATATCCTCCTTGTATCGATTCTTTCAGCAAGGTTCCCCCGATGGAAAAAAAGGTCTCGTAACAAAAAAAAAAAAGAAAAACGCAAAAACTTCATTGTATGACGGGATCACGGAGAAAGAGAAAAGTTAACGGGTCGACGCAAAACCGACGACGCGACATCGCGGCGGCGAGAAAATCTCTGTTTTACGGGAATGATAAAACAATCGGTTTTGCAGTCCGTTTCACTTCCTCAGTGCAAACATTCGCTACGGTTTTGTCTTTATAACAATTCCCGTAACGAGTATTTTATTTACAAATGAAATTATCCTCGCTATAATTCAGCGAAGCAGCGCCGTACTTTTCAGGTAGATATTTTCATTCGTTTGCTTATTATTGCAGGTGACACATATCGTAAACAGTGTGATACGGTATTTTGAAAATCTGTCTGTCGGATTATTTACATGACTGGTCGGTTGACTGCGTCATAAAATATTCTTGCAAAGTGTACTGTACGTAATACAACATTTTGCATGACCTACATTTTTTAATGACATTACGAACGCGTTTATCTCGATGAATAAAATTTTATTCGCACTTTTTATAATTCCGATGCAATTTAATCCTTCAATTCGCGTCTCTAAAGCAGAAATTATCGCATTATTATAATCATTATTACATGCTAAATTCATTTACATGTACATTTTAATGTGTATGCTATCAAAAAGTGAAGAGAATTTATAATCTATGTCGGCACTAATACGATCAAATTCTCTATTAAAATACTTTTGATACAGCTTAATAACATAAACTCCCTTTTGTCGGGGAATGAGAGAGGAGAAGCGAATGCACGTCCATTATAAATATTCACCTGTTATTGATCGCAAAAGATCAGATTGTGCATCAGTCGAAGGAGATTAATGAGCAAAAACGGGAGATCACATCGTCAATGCGTTGCTCGTTTGTCCATTGTTAATGTCATTTTCTGTTGCAGTATCGATGCCAGGAATCCGGAAGGCAGCGTTCCCGAAAGATGGTCGGACGACAACGTATTCTCGCATCGCGCATATTTTATGCTGGACAAGCAACCGGCGCAACTGGGGGTCGAGAACACGAGGGAAGAGGATGCTGGAATATACAGGTGTCGTGTCGATTTTCAAATCGGCCAAACGAGAAACTCCAAAGTCAATTTAACGGTAATCGGTAAGTTTATTCAATTGTAAGCTGTTCCCGATAGAAGAGAAAGGGAAATTTTCAGGGAGTTTGGAAAATTGTATTAAAGTGCATTAGAGTTGTAACGTTACACCGCGAGCGATTCAGAGTTGATGCGTCATTCACTAGATTACAACCCAATTATTTGTATGCAACTTTCGCATTTGATTAGCTTTGCCCAATGAATTAGGTCTGCTTCATCCAAATTGTACCGCTTTATCAGCGATTACGAACAGCGTTCGCGACATTTCGCGGTATTTCGTATGTGAAGAATACCTGTGATCATGATTGTAATATAAATCCAAAATGGAAAGTTTTGCAACTCCATATATATATACGATGTACGTCGGTGTTTTGCAGTTGGAAAGAACCAATCTGGTGAATTAACACGGCAACATGCATCTTGGATTTTATCTTACGTTATATTAAACGCGTTATCGCAGAAATTTCCTGTTAAATTCTCTATTTTTACTCGTAGTAGCAAGAAAGTGTTCGGAAAGATTGTTCCGAGTAACCGGAGCCAATTGTAACTTTGTCCAAGAGCTTCTCCCTGTACATAATTACCTCTTTCATTAATACCCAATTAGCCGCTTGAGCGCCGGCTACTCAACGTGTATTGCGATTATGCTAAAAATGACACGAAAGTTTTACGGACTTCGTATAAGTACTGCCTTAAAGTTACGTGTCGCCGTACTTTCGCAACTTTACTCTTATAAAACCATCGTAAGATATCGCGAGTGCTTAAGGTGCGGGAGTTGTAAGGATCAACTTGAGACTCATTGCCCGAGGTCGCCGAAAAGGACCTTTATACTGGCATTAAAGCCATTTGATGTTTGAGAAAATGTGGCGAGTACCGTAGATACCAACAGGTTGCCAACTACGGAGCGATAATTATTTGTCGCTTTTACGACGATCTAATAAAACCGATTTATATCGTTCTCGAACGATGTCTAATCAAAATTACACGTTAGGGAGACACAATATGTAATTTTAATTATTTTTATTATTGAATTTATTATTTATTATTCTATTCTTATTCAACCAACTTCTACTTCTACTTCTCACAAATGCTTTATAAAAATTTTAATTACTGTTTTTTACATATAAAAATATTTAATTTAAATAAGAGGATCTAAAATGTTATCTTATCTGTCCTAAGTGAAATCGTAAATTATAGCAAAAATTCTAGTTAGAGCGGTTTTTTAAAACTTTCTTTTTTTAAAACCGCGAGCGCGCGTTTTAATATTACGCCTTATTTCCGACCACGTTTTTCGTTGTCGGTCGACGTGACGCGCATTTTCTGCACGCTAACAAAAGAATCGTAAAACGGCAATTAAGCGACGTAATAAATTCGAAATAAAGTAAGCGGCTATCGGGACGAGGCGAGCATATACATCGCCGGAGGAAGGTGGAGCAGGAGGAGGAGGAAAAGAATAAGAGAGAGGGGAGGACGGAGGGCAGGACGGAGGGGAGGATGGAGGTCAAGGAGAGAAAAAGGAATCCAATTAACATCCTGTTGAAAAGTTATGGAAACGCTAACGGGCGAGTGTGCGTCACCTCGGGATTCGCCGTTGGCCGGCATGTGCCAAGGAATTTTTCCTGCGGGGTAATTAGCTCCCCCGGCGCGTCCTTCCGACCCACCGACATTTCGCACGTCCTTGCTACGAGCTCGCAGACACTCCAACCGTTGGTAAACCTTTTCCAGATGAACGCCAATTAACGTGCCTCTACTCCCATCGCGCTTTTCCCAGCGAAATTGCACATCACTCTCTCTCGCCGGTTTCCTTTTTCCCACAATAGAAGTTACAAAATATCCGAACAATAACCGATTAAATATACCTTTCATTATGATTCAATGAGGGAAAATATCAAATCGATCTGTCGAGATTTAATCAAAAAATTCTATTTTTTTTTATTTTTAACATGAAATTAATACTCTTGACAAAGTAATTTATCTCTGTCAAACTATTTTGATAACGTTCAATAAAGTTAATGTATAAATATAATGTTAAATCATCATGCGTTTCCTCTATTTGATTGCCACAGTGTAATATCGCTCCAAGGATTGATGATAGTTATTAATGCACACAATCGCGATCGTTATCGTTTTACAACGAGGAGGAGTATGAACTCGCGAGACAGGCAAGAATGGGAACGCCGCGTTAAACGTTGCGCTCACGGAATTTAAATCGCTCTCCTTTACAAGCGCGTTCGCGTTCCGTTGCATATTTGCGCGTCGCAACCGTCAAAGGTGTGTACGCCGAACGGACGGAGGCGAGAACGACGGAGGGATATATACTCGAATCAGATGCACCGTCGCGACAGTGTCAGGAAGAATAGTGGATGAGGGTGAAAAGGGAGCGACTCGACCATTAGTAGTAGCGAATTTGCTTTCTTAAGATGGGCACGTTTTGCATTCGTAGATACATGGCAGATAACGGATCTGTTGAAACTCTACATTATCAGGTGACGGAATTAAATTTCCTGTCGCGTTCAAGTGAATAGCAAATGTAGAAAAATAAGAAAATATCCCGTTTATTGGGAAATACATGTTCCAGCGAAAAAAAATTTGATGATACAATTCCTATCTTATAACATATTTTTATTTATACAGAAATTATATTGACGTTATGTGAAAAATAGAACCTAATTAAAATTATTTAAATTATATAAATTGAAATAATAATAACACGCATAAGAATTATTAACTTTTACATGACAGATGATTTTATTTTAAAAAGAGCATGATTAATTAATCGCACGCTCTATTGTAAGGTAAATGTTTGTCTCCAGTCCAATAGACAGAAGTCCTGCGAAGTCTTCTTGTCGAGCTCTCCCAGACGTTCGTAAATATCCAACTCGTCATATTTTCTGCCAAGAATACCGGTGCCTGTATCGCGACAGTTGCCCGAGAGTTACCGTATCGTGGAACTTTGTGTTTGACAGTGGTTTCTAATAAAAAAAAAATAAATAAAAGGAATAAAGGAGGGTGAAAAGTTTGGTACACGGGGTTTGGTCGACGGGAACCAGATCTTTGACCCGACGTTAAAGCTTTGGTAAACGAGAGCATTTATCGTAGCAAGACGCTGTGTCCCCTTTCGGTCGGACAAGAAATACAAGGTATTCCAGTTCCGAAAGTATAGAATGTAATTCGATAAATTTTCCACGAGATACTGGCGATTTCAGAGGGGGCATACCTCGCAATTTCTGTCGGCCAATATTGACATTTCAATGCATTACATTGACATTAACGCGCGTACAAGCGGACATAAATTTTGTGTATATTTTATAATTTTACAAAATAATAATGATACGCATTTATCGGGAAACGTTTGCAAATATTTTATCGTATATTCTTTAATAATTATCGAATTAATGTTTTCGACCATCAATTATCGAGTGCAGGCGAAATAACGTTCAAACGCGTAATTTAATTATCGTAATGAAACAAAATGATTTTCTACTCCATATTTAATTTTAATAAAATTGCGATTATGAACGACTTCAAAATTTTATGCTGTAATAAAAAAAAGAATAATGGCACGGGTACGGTCCCGAACCGGCACCTAAAGTCCGCTTTGCTCTGGTATATACCTATCAGTTCTCGTTTAGAAGCAGAGATATTATATCATGCTTTAGGGTTTTATAAAATACGGGCGAACTGAAGATAAGATGGTTCCCAAGTAACCAACGGGGGAACCAGAAATCGGTGCAAAAACTCTAAAGAAATGGCGGCTCCTCGCATTAAGACTTCCTCGAAGTCGAGCTACAGAAAACGAGCGCATTTATCTTCTTGAACCGTTGTTTCTTTAAAGTAAGGAAAGGATGGAACGGCAAAAGCTGCGAGTAGATTTTTTCGCTTCGAAGGAGACAATACATAACTGGATAACACCCACGTCCGCGGGATCTGCCCTTTGCTCTTGCCCCCCCCCCCTCCCGCTCCCGCGATCGAACTTTGTAATCGCGATAATCGAAATCTCGCGTAAAGGCAAACAAACTTCCTGCCGTTCCTTCTTTCTCGGGGCGTGGAAACCTAGTCCTATTTTGTAAGCATTTCCCTCTCTCGCATTTGCGACACGACAACGTAACACCTTCGCGTACAGTATGACATCGTCTCCACTTTGCGTCTCTTCTACACTATCTGATATCGTTGAGTCATGGAAACTCCATTTCCGACACGTGACAACGTTGTTGCGCATTCAACAATAAACACCAGCGGGTTTTCTGTTTACCGCCACTAAAGAAAATATTTCGCTTCAAGCGCGCGACGTTCGCACCCGTTTCTGTTGCATTATGATTAATTTACGCTAAGCGCACTTTTTAAGCATTCGCTTTGTGCTCGCGTTCTGATTAATGAATAGTTTATCCACCGCGCCGTTTCGTCATGATTAAGTAAAACGGTCGCAAAATAGATACCATAAAAAGAGAAAAAAACCAGGCAGTTCAAAATTTTCATTCAACGAGGTAGATGTCACACCCCTACGAAGTTAACACACACACACACACACACACACACACACACACACACACACACACACTATAAACTACTA